TACAATATAGTTAACTCAAACATAAATGATATATTGAGTAAATGATTTTGAAAAAATGATATTTTTGAAAAAATTTTGAAGAGTGGCATTTCTAAAAAAATTCTCGAAAATGAAAGACGACAGTACATAACTAAAGAGAATCACGCATATGAGGAAAAAGATAAAGAAAAACAATAAGAAAGGAAGAAAAAATAAATCAGACAAAAAAAAGGTAGGGCCATAAAAAACAAAAATCGAGAAGAAGAAGAAGGAAAAAATGAAATGCTAAGAAGAAGAAACAAAATAGACATAAATAAATAATATAATTAAATGATTTTATATAAAGGTAAAAACAAAAAATTGTAATGAAGTTCACAAATCCTTCATTAAATCATTCTTTCATTAATTATAAAATTTTAAATAATGTTATTCATCGTTTACGTTTTAATTTAACACAAATAAAAAATTAAAACAAAAAAATCTATAATTTCATGACAATACTTAAAGATATTCTATTTAGGCATGTTAATTTTCTAAATGCATATAAGTTTAATACTAACTATGATGAATATTTCGATTTTAGAAATGATAAAATTGTGTACTTTAAATACGAAAATTAACATATTTTTTAAACTATGTCATACCTACATATGGTGCGGGCCAATAATCTAGTTACAGTGTATAACACTATATAAGAGGAGTAAGTTATAATTGGATTTTTAATTTTTAAAGTAAAGAAAAATCAACGATTTGGGTTACAAATACTAAGGGCCTACTATGTTTTGGGTTTTGATTTAATTATATGGATTGTTTACATGCCACGTTCGTATTTTTAAAAAGATAACTTTTTATAAATGTCATTTTTAAAATGCTATTTTTTAAAAATATTATTTTTAAAATCTTTATAAAAATGTCATTTTTCAAAATTATTTATTTAATATATCATTTATGTTTTCGTTAAGAAAATTTTTTAGAAATGCCATTTTTGAAGAGCAATTTTTCAAAAATGTCATATTTTCAAAATTTTTGCAAAAATACCATTTTTCCAAAATCATTTATTCAATATATCATTTATGTTTCGATTAACCATGTTGTATTAGAGTTTAGTTTTGAGGGTTTATGGTTTGTTTGGAGTCAAAACCTTTTTTAGGTCTATAATTTTAAGATTTAGGGTTTAAAAATCTTAATTAGTTTC